GGACCCTCTTCGTAAATGGGTATATTCTTGGAAAACCACATTTGCACCCCATCGTGTCCTTTTGAATCTGCTGGATGCCCAACCATATGATACCAAGGGTTGTTGGAGTTCACAATTCGCTTGTGACGTGTTTCTTGTAGTCCAACAACTTGGCATTTGGCAGCAGCAAATTGTTGTTGGAGAAGTTGCTGTTTGGTAATGGTTGTTTTTCCAGGCTCTTTGTCATTCTTCAGCGTGAGAACGTTGGCGGTGGCAAGAGTGAGGAAGACTTCACAGCTTTGCCATCTCTCATTGTTTTCATTTTGGCACTCTGCATCATAAGGGGCTGAGAGCGTTGGTGCAATAGACCGCAAGTTGTGTACAAGGAAAGCTCCATCAAATAGAGGCGCATCTGCAGGCTGTGTATGCAAACGTTCCAGGTACCATATCCATTGCAGACTGTTGAGCTTCTGCACATCTTCCAACCAATGACGCCAAGCAAGAGAGCCTTCAACTCTCCAGGGACATTGTGCTGCAAACTTTGCCAGGGAGTCTACAAGCTCGTTTCTGGGGTTCTGGCTGTGGGCTTTCACGTGTTGCCAGAAAATGTGGTCTTGGCTGTGCCTTTGCTCAAGAATTTGTGCAAGTGCACGCAACAGTGTGCGCCAGGCCCCATGCTCCTTGGTGCGCCAAAAACCTGCAGTTTGGTAGCCCGTATTCATCGCATCGAAGTTGAAGTGGAAGTTGATCATTGCTGTGCCATGCATGTTGATGCAGAAAGAGCTGATTTGGATGGCCCAAAAAAGGGCCCAAACCATCGCCGCATGTTCACCTTGAAAGGCATGAAGGGCTTCTTCAACAGCTTTGGCCATACAACCAGCAAAGTATGTTCCATCTTCATCATCAATGAAGCAGGCTATGCCTGCACCAACACTTCCTTTGACGCAAGATCCATCAACATAGAAATGTACATCCGTCGGCAGGACATTCCGTGGACTGCCGAGAGATTGCAGGTGTTGTTGGGTGACTTCTGGCAGTTGCAAGTCTTCCGGCCATACTTCCCATAGATTGAGTGGAATGCAGGCCAGTTCATAACTCATCCATTGAACTGTGGAAAGATCAACTTTCACCGTCTCACATGGAGGAATGTAGTCAGAAAGGTGCAGAATTCTGCGATCTTCACTAGGTCGCTGAGTGTGAGCCACCTGCTCAGCTGTTAGGCACCTAGTGGTTTTTGGCAGAAATGAATTTTCATCTGGTTCTTCTGGTGGTAGCGGAGCCCATTCGAATGGAGTCCGTGCTGTGGCATAGATTCGTGGGATATCAGCAATCTGATGTCCATCACGCAGGCAGCATGCAGTGGCAAGCGTTGGCACTTCTCGAAGTCGCTGATGTGGGGGAAGATCAATCCTGATGTAGTCCCCATGGCGCAATTCAAGAAGGCAATGGTCATGAAGTGCAATCAGTTTGTCATTCACATGGACCAGACAACGCTGTTGTACTGTGGCACAGTAGGCTTGAAGTCCAAGGTCCTCCAGAATGATACGTCTCGTCGTGTCTTTGCGAAGAAGTTCCACATATCGACGCACATGAAAATCATGCACATGATGTCCGTGAAATATGATGTCCAGCAGAATAAGACGACGTGAATCACCAGGAGAAAGATCCAAGGGTCTTTGAATCAAAGCCACTTGTGTTGCCGCTGCCACCAAGTCCGGGGGGAGGTATGCAACCATGTGTATTGCTTGAACTTCATGTCGTGGCAATTGAAGCGCATGACGCATAGAGCTCTGCATTGCCTCCCACGAGATCGTACTGATTCTGGCTGCAGTCATTGGCGCATTTCTGCAATATAGGTGATAGAATTGTGACGGCGCATCACTGTCATAGGATGTACCAGTAGTGCTTGGTTGCGATCGCAAATCATCATCACTGGATACTGCGGCATCTGGTGCTCGACCATCAGGTCGCAGATGAGGTTGTCGGGCCATGAAGGATGTAGTATCATCCGTTTGCTCTTCAGGCTGTCGGTGTGGTGATCTACTCCGTTGTCTGGCTGATCCAATTTGGCTGGTGGCCATGTCCTCATCTTCCACAGTATTGATGGCAGCATCCTCATTGAAACTGGCAGGTTGGTGTGTTTCTTGTAGCGCTCTAATGTGGACCACAATGGAGCCTCCATTTGGAATTGGTAACGGGGCCTCCGGTTCATCTAAGATAGGCCGCCAACCATAATAGGCTTGAATGGGTCTGTGTTGCACTTGTATGGGTACTTCCGCAAGAGCCACAACATCAGCTCGATGGAGCCGATTGGGACAAAAACGGACTAACCTCTGGATCGCAATGCGCTCAGTTGAGTGATAGATATTGGTGAAAATAGCTGCACTGTCATGATCATGTGGTTGTTGCACCAAAACAACTTGAGCCGCATGTTCATCATTCTCTTGCGATACTGGTGGATCAGGAAGTAACACATAAAATTGCACCTCTTGTCGTTGGTTGACTTCATCGATCCATGCATTCTTCAGGAGTCGCGTCCACTGCAAGAAATCTTCAGGTAGATGTACCCGTCTAGGACGTCTGCACTCACGTAGGCGATGTCCATGAAGGTACCATGAAAGCACTTCCATGCTCCGCTCTTGAGTGTTCACATTGAGATCTCCATATTGATGCATGGCAACTTCCAAATCTTGAATGAAAATGGGTTGATGACGAATGTCAAGAGGATTGGGTGCCCGATATCGATTGCCCTCACCAAATTCAGCTTGAAACGATTCATACGTTCCTTGTGTGCGTTGGTCTGAATTGTGGTAAGAGATTGGGGCAACAGGTCGCCTCTGCCAAAGTTTCCGTTCCCATTGATGCAGAGCTCCCTCATGCATCCAGATGGTTGTAGGATTTCGGATCTCATCCTCATAGAGTATTCGAAGCTCAATATGTGGAGAAAAATTCACCGTCTTGCTGGTTGCATGCCGTGTCGTATGCAGGGCAGAGCACTGTGCTGCGCAAGGACAGGAGATCTGGAAATCGTTTGGAGAACCTTGACATTGTGTTTGGAGCAAATATGCTTCATGTATCGCCATGAATGGATGTAGACAAATCGGGTCAAGTGACGCTGAATGTACAGGTACTTGCCAAAATTGGTCATGCTGATTGGAGCTGTAGATTGATGGACCTTCAGGGCATGCTGCATGAAGATCAGTGTCATGGTTCCTGAACTCATAGGCATCGGCCATAAAGTCTGCATCAAAGCTCCAGGGATTGAGCGGCTCATGGATCCCAATCTCACTGAGACTTGTGCATCCACTGCCAATGCTCAGGATGCAGCAGCACCGGAGCCAGGCTCGCAAGATCTTGGGCGCTTCAATGTGTGCCCTTCCATGACCAAATCCTCCTCGTCTTCTGACTCGATGTCGATGGTGTCTTTGACTGCGGAGGTCTTGAAGCAATGG